AAAAGATAAGCCTAGGCTTTTATGGTATCTTTTTGTAGACTTCTGGAAAGGACCTCTGGGTGGAGGGTGGGGGCAGCTACAGTGGATCTGAGCGAGCACTCAATACTAAGTTTTACTGCCTCTTTTTTTATGTTTTTACTTGTAATTATGCATTTTTTTTTTCATACAAGCATGAACTAAATCGCTACTCTGAATATTAGATGTAACCAATTTGTGTTGTTGATCTATTATTAATGAAAAATTTCTGATTTCTGTTGTCCATTGTCGTTGAATACTTTCAATATGTTTTTTATTACTTTTGATTGTTTGACCACCAAAAAAAAAAAAAGTTTAAGAGAGTTTAAGAGATGTCTTCGAAATACTTCGAAATATAGAGCTGAAGAGTACTTGCATGTTGAACATAGCACAAAGATGTTTGTGAACACGTGTTATCATTAGGATCTTCCGAGCGTTCAACAAAATCTACTAATATTAAATTTACTCTAGAGATAGGGTATATATTGACATGCGAATGACCACAAAATTTCAAGAGAATAGTAGGATAATTTTGATGAAATCTAATCCCTAGACTTTCGACATCTGATCTACAGTGTTTAGCCAAATATAAATCTATCAGTTATTAATTTTCTATTTTCTTCCAAATAGCATTCCGCTACAACCATTCTGTTACTTGTACTACCATATATTCTGTGTGTACATTCAGTTCGTATCAAGTAGCATATTTAAATATGACAATTAGAAAAATATCATGTGCGTAGATTAAGACTTCAATATCTAATTATGATGATTACATAAATAAGTAATAAATCAGTTTAAAATCAAAACGTAGTAAATTAACAAGACCTATGATGAAATGACAAAGTGATTTCAGCCTAACAAAAATTAGAAAAGCAATATAAAAAATTCTAAAAGGGGTTAAATTAAACTTGTTAATGAAAAATGAACAATACTTCTGTCACTTCAATGTTTCATGTGAAAGAGCCTTAAAGATTTTAATGATTTCAATGCCCTTGCTCATAAAGCATAAATATGTTTTAAGTTTAAAAAAAACAAGAAGAAAAAACTTAAGAGGGTGTCAATCAATCCGGTTGGTAATTGTTTTGAAATTGTTACCAATTTTTTTGGGTTTATTCTCACCAACATCTTAATAAAGTCCCCTTGAAGACCTTTGGGTGTGGGTGTGGGTGTGGAAAAAATATATATACAAAATGGATCCTTTGAAAATAAAGTTGTGAACAATGTGCCCAATTCATAAAAGTGCTGTGCTGCTTGCTACTTTATGGAGCAGAAGCACTATTCCTTGAAAAGAAAGAAGAGCATAAGCTTTAAACTTTAATGGCATAAAGATCAATAAGTCATAATTTTGAAATTATGAAACATGTTTACAAACCATTAAAGGGCTACTTATCAAAACAAGAAGCGGGAGAATTGAAGCACAATTTTTTCATGCATCTAGCTTGCATGGATGCTGTTGTGAAATTTAACGCGGAATAAAACAGGAATCGACACAAACTAGAAGAACACTGAGATTTAACGAGGTTCGGCAAAGAATTGCCTACGTCCTCGGGAGCGAGCGGCAGTTTCACTATTTCAGAGAAGTTCAATTACATCCCATAGGGTTTCCCATATAAATAGACATATACAAACCCTCAGATAAAATTACAATCATGCCCTCGCTCCTCCCAACCCCCTTTATTCCAAGAGACACTCCTTTTCACCAGGAGACACGCCTCTTCAAAAGAAACTCCAACTCCCCAGATATGAGCCATATCTAACAATTCTCCACCTTGACGAATATCCAACACCTTAGGAGATATGCATCACCCGGTATATACGCCTACCAAACAAATCTCCACCTTAGTGAATATTCAGCCCCTTTAGAAGAAAAAATCTCATGGAGTCTCTTTATACCAAAGTGGGTTGGGCAACCAAACCATCTAACCTGGCTTGGTCAAAGTTCCTGTTGCATTTTCATCATATGATTCAACAGAGCGATCTCCACCTGCAACTGTACTCCCTATCAGTTTATAGATGTTACCTACAGTGATCTTTCCTTTCATCACAGTCAGTACACCCTTAACAATTTCGATGGTTTCCCTATCCTCATCTGCCTTAAGAATGAAACCATTTTTGTGTAGAGTGCCCAAGGAAATCAAATTCTTCTTCAACTCTGGAACATGTCTGACATCACATAATGTTATAGCAGTATCATCATACATCTTAATTCTGACTTTACCAATACCAGCAATATTGCAATGTCTATTATCACCCAAATAAATTGAACCAGAATCAGATAATCTGTATGAGGTAAACCACTCCCTGTTAGGTGTTATGTGATAAGAACATCCTGAATCAAGAATCCATCCATCCTTTAACTGAGTTGTTGTAACTGAAAGCGCATCACCATCACTGTAATCTGTAATATCACTCTGCACCATATTCACAGACCTGGAAGATACATCACGAGTCTTCTTCTTGAGCATTGGACAATCTCTCTTCATATGTCCCTGTTCCTTGCACTTAAAGCAACGAATCTTCTTGCCTTTAGGCTTTGACCTGGAACTTTGCCTTCCAGAATTCTCCTTCTCCTCCTTACTTTCACGATCCTGATTACCCTTGGCATATAAACAATTACCATGAGAGCTTTCCTCTGCATTCTGCTTCCGCTGGTTGTGAGCCAACAATGCTGCAGTAATCTCATCAATTTTAATTGTTTCTTTCCCATATGTAAGAGTAGTCACCAGATGTTCATAAGAAGTAGGCAATGAACACAAAAGAATCATTGCTCGGTCTTCATCCTCAATATTCACATCAAGCCGTGCCAGATCCGTGATTATTTGATTGAAGACATTCAAGTGCTGAACCAAATCAGTGTCTGCCTGCATCTTCAGCCCATACAACCTTTGCTTAAGATACAATTTATTCGTCAAAGATTTGGACATAAACTGAGATTCCAATTTCTTCCATACTTCTCCTGGAGATTTCAGATTCATAACATGATACATAATCTC